CATGATCATAGCAATAGATGCTGAAAAAGCATTCGACAAAATCCAGCATCAATTTCTGATAAAAACGCTCAGCAATGTGGGAATAGAGGGATCATATCTCGACACAATAAAGGCCATATATGAAAGACGTTCAGTCAACATCATACTCAATAGGCAGAAATTAAAAACATTTCCCTTAAGAACAGGAACAAGACAGGGATGTCCACTTTCGGCACTCCTATTTAACATAGTACTGGAAGTCTTAGCCACAGTAATCAGACATGAGGAAAAAATAAAAGGGATCCAAATTGGAAAGGAGGAAGTGAAACTGTCATTATTTGCAGATGACATGATATTATACATAGAAAACCCTAAAGACTCCATCAAATATCTACTAGACTTAATAAATGAATTTGGAAAAGTAACAGGGTACAAAATTAACATCAAGAAATCGATGGCATTCTTATACACCAGTGATGAACTCACAGAAAGAGAAACAAACAAACAAAAAAATCCCATTTATCATCGCGGCAAAAAAATTAAGATATCTAGGAATAAACTTAACCAAAGAAGTAAAGGACCTATTTGCAGAAAACTACAGGACATTGAAAAAAGAAATAGAGGAAGATATAAAAAAAAGTGGAAACACATACCTTGTTCATGGATTGGAAGAATTAACATCATTAAAATGTCCATACTACCCAAAGCAATCTATAGATTCAATGCAATCCCCATCAAAATACCAATGACATATTTCACAGAACTAGAACAAATACTTCAAAAGTTTATATGGAACCAAAAAAGTCCCCCAAATAGCCACAGCAATTTTGAAAAAAAAGGACAAAGTAGTTGGGATCACAATACCAGATATCAGGTTATACTACAAAGCGACTGTAATCAAAACAGCCTGGTACTGGCACAAGAACAGGCATATAGACCAGTGGAACAGAACTGAAAACCCAGAAATGGACCCAAGGCAATATGCTCAATTAATATTTGACAAAGGTGGCAAGAGCATACAGTGGAGTCAAGACAGCCTCTTTAATAAATGGTGTTGGGAAAACTGGACAGATACATGCAAAAAAATGAAACTAGACCATCAACTTACACCATACACAAAAATAAACTCAAAATGGATAAAAGACTTAAATGTGACCCGTGAATCTATAAAAATCCTAGAAGAAACTATAGGCAACAAAATTTCGGACATCATACGCAGCAGAATTTTCACTGATACATCACCTAAGGCAACAGAAACAAAGGAAAAAATGAACACATGGCACTACATCAAACTCAAAAGCTTCTGCACAGCAAAAGAAACAACCATCAAAACAGAAAGGCAACCCACTGTATGGGAGAACATCATTGCCAATGATATATCAGATAAGGGGTTAATTTCCAATATATATAGAGTACTCATACAACTCAACAAAAGGAAGACAATGAACCCAATTAAAAAATGGGCAGAGGAGCTGAATAGACACCTCTCCAAACAGGACATACAAATGGCCAAGAGACATATGAAGAAATGCTCAACATCACTAATCATCAGAGAGATGCAAATTAAAACAACAATGAGCCCTGGCCTGTTTGGCTCAGCGGTTGGAGTGTCGGCCTGTGGTCCTGAGAGACCCGGGTTCGGTTCCCGCTAAGGGCGCGTACCTCGGTTGCAGTTTGTCCCCGGCCCTGGTCGGTTGTGCGGGTGGCAGCCACTCGATGTGTTCCTTTCACATCGATGTTTCTCTCTCTCTCTCCCTCCCACTCTACCTGAACAAAAAATGGAAAAATGTCCTCAGGTGAGGAAAAAACAACAACAACAACAATGAGGTATCACCTCACACCTGTCAGAATGGCTGCATCAACAAATCATCAAACAACAAGTGTTGGTGAGGGTGTGGAGAAAAGGGGACTCTAGTGCACTGCTGGTGGGAATGCAGACTGGTGCAGCCACTATGGAAAACAATATGGTGTTTCCTCAAAAAATTAAAAATTGAATTGCCATTTGACCCAGTGATTTCACGTCTAGGAATATACCCTAAGAAGCCTGAAACACCAATCAGAAAGAATATATGTACCCCCATGTTAATAGCAGCACTATTTACAATAGCTAAGATCTGGAAACAGCCCAAGTGTCCATCAGTAGACGAATGGATAAAAAAGCAGTGGTACATATACACAATGGAGTACTGTGCAGCTGTAAGAAAGAAAGATCTCTTATCCTTTGAGACGACATGGAGGGACCTGGAAAGTATTATCCTAAGTGAAATAAGCCAAGCAGAAAAAGACAAATACCACATGATCTCACTTATTTGTGGAATATAATGAACATAACAGTCCGAGGAATATAGTAGACCCAGAAACACGGAAGTAGGGCACAGACTGACATCCTTCAGAAGAGGGAGCTGGGGGTGGGTGGGAAGAGATAAACCACAGAACTTATATGCCTGTATACATAACCAATAGACATGGACAACAAAGCCGGGGAGGGGGTTCCAATGGGGTAAAAAAGGAGAAACATCTGCAACAAAAAAATAAAATAAAAAAATTTTTTTAAATGGGAAGAGGAACTAAATAGATACCTCTCCAAACAGAACATACAAATGGCTAAGAAACATATGAAGAAATGCTCATCATCACTAATCATCAGAGAGATGCAAATTAAAACAACAATGAGGTATCACCTCACACCTGTCAGCATGGCTGCCATCAACAAATCATCAAACAACAAGTGTTGGCGAGGGTGTGGAGAAAAGGGGACTCTAGTGCACTGCTGGTGGGAATGCAGACTGGTGCAGCCACTATGGAAAACAATATGGTGTTACCTCAAAAAATTAAAATTTGAACTTCCATTTGACCCAGTGATTCCACTTCTAGGAATATACCCTAAGAAACCTTAAACACCAATCAGAAAAAAAATATATACCCCATGTTCATAGTAGCACTATTTACAATAGCTAAGATCTGGAAACAGCCCAAGTGTCCATCAGTAGACGAATGGATAAAAAAGCAGTGGTACATATACACAATGGAGTACTGTGCAGCTGTAAGAAAGATCTCTTATCCTTTGAGATTAGATGGAGGGACCTGGAAAGTATCATCCTAAGTCAAACAAGCCAAACAGAGAAAGACAAGTTTCATATGATCTCACTTATTTGTGGAATATAATGAACATAACAGTCTGAGGAATGGGGTAGTCCCAGAGATGTGGGAGTGGGGTACAGACTGACAATCCCCAGAAGAAGGGGTGGTGGGGGAGAGATAAACCACAGAACTTATATGCATGTATGCATGAACAGTGGACATGGACAACAAACTGGGGACAGGGCAGGGAAGGAGGGGGAGGGGGGAATCAGTGGGGGGAAAAGGAGAAACATCTGTAACAAAAATTAATTAATAAAAAAAATAAAACTTGAAAAGAAAAAAAAAAAGAACGTTCTTGGGACCATTGTGAAAATTTGAATAAGATTTGAGGATTAAGCGGCATTAGTTTCCTAATTTTGATGGCTGCATTGTGATTATATTGGAGACTGTCCTTGTTTGTAGGAAATACACACTACAAAAACTTCATGGTTGATGGGGCATTCTGTTGGCAATTTACTCTAAAATAGTTCAAGGAAAAAAAGTTCTGTGTAATGTACTCTCTGTACATTTGTGATTGTTTCAAAATAAAATATTTATTAAAAATAAAAAATAACCCTGGCCAGTTTGGCTCAGCAGTTAGAGCGTCAGCCTGCAAATCAAAGAGTCCTGGGTTCAATATCGGCCAGTGGCACGTGCCTCGGTTGCGGTTCGTCCCTGGCCCCAGTTTAGGTCATGCAGGTGTCAACCAAACAATGTGTCTCTCTCATATCGATGTTTCTCTTTCTCTCTCTTTCTCTCTCCTCCACTCTGTCTGAAGATAAATGGAAAAATATCCTCGGGTAAAGATTAAAAAAATAAATAATAAACGCCCTGATTAGTGTTCCCAGTGGTTAGAGCACCAGCCAGTGCACTGAAGGGTCTCAGGTTTGATTCTCAGTCAAGTGTATGTACCTGGGTTGCAGGTTTGACCTCCGGTCCTGGTCAGGAGGCAACCAATGGATGTATCTCTCTCGCATCAATATTTCTCTCCCTCCCTCCCTCCCTTCCACTCTCTCTAAAAATCAATGGAAAAAAATAAAGGTCAAAGGAACACCAATCATAAGTAATATATATATTATCACAGGTTGGAAGGAAATTTACCACAGTGATAATTATATTAAAGAGGATCGTGTGTAATATTTTTCTGTTCTAAATCTTTACAGTTTAGTTTAATAAATAGGTGCTGAGGACCTGCTATATGTCAGGCATTGTGCCAGGTTCTAAGGGTACTGGAAAAAGTGACAATGTGTCTATAGGAGAGAGTACTATGGAATGTGTGCTGGCTGGATGCTAAGGACAAGAATGCTGCTGGAGCACAGGGAAGGCCTGACCCCCAAGTGAGGGGAGGGGTATGGGGAAGGGATGCTTGAAATGCGGTTCTCTTGTTTTTCTATTAAGAATAACAATAATGAAAGATATTGGGAATCCCATGAGCACTAGTAGCCCTGAGGAGGGAGAGGAATGTGGAGAATTTAGAGTCTACAGAGCATGGGCGGCTGGTGGGCTGAACTTTAGGGCTTAATCATGGTTTGAAACAGTATGGGGAGGGACTGAAGTTACATTCCAGGAAAACCTCTGGGTGGTGTGTGGAGGGCCCTGATGTATCCCTCAGAGGAGAAAAGGAGAATGGGGAGGGGGAAGGATGTCTTCACTGGTCTTTGAGCACAGGCCCTGCAGGGGAACACAGTGGCCCTAGCCCAGGCCACGTGGAATCTTGGAGCCCAGGGCGCAGCTGTTGATGTTTCAGCCTTACATCCTCATCTGGGCTGTCAGGCTGAACAGGGCCCCTGGAGTTAGTCCCAATCTGTTTCCTTCTATTCTTTGACAGGAAGCTCCTGGAGAGCCAGCCCCCAGCCCCTCCCCCTCCCAGTACTCCCTCTCTCTTCTCCACTATGGACAGAGCCTCCACGGAGCGGCTGCCTGCCCACCACAGACCCAGCTGACATGGAGGTTGTTGGAGCAACACAGCTGTGCTGGGTGATCCTCAGCTTCCTCCTATTCCAAGGTAAGAGGCACTTGCCACCCTCCTTCAGCAGTTCCCTTCCCAGGGCTGGCAGTCCGGAGAGCCTGTCCCTCCTTCAGGACATTCTCCCTACATCTAGCGCTCCATCCAGGGCCCAAGGGAAATTCCCGAGCCTTATATGAAAGAAATCAGTTGGATTGGGAGGCAGTCATTACCAGGCAAGGGTACAATAGCATATGGTTAAATCTTTTTGTGAGAAAATTTCCAGGGTGAACCAGGACTCCCATAAAGGCTGGTCGCCCGAAATGTGGGAAGTGACTGTCTTGGTGTGAGATGAGGCCCAAAAGCTCCTTCCAGAGTGTTCTAGCATGAAATTGTCTGCACCTTGGGCTTTACAGGTGATCTTTTTTCTTCTTCCAAATGGGGAGTAACAACCTGGGAATTCCAAACACTAACTTTAGGCTCACAGCAAGAGGAATTCAAGTTAGATACAAAGAACTATCTGCCAAAGAGGATGTACTCAACATCCTCACCCAGGGACCTCGATGAGATGGTCTTCAGAGGAGATAATTTGAAAACACCTCTCAGGCAGGGCTCTGCTAACTGATGAGTGGAGAAGCTCATAGGGGGTCCTCTAATTAGGGAGCAGTTGCTGGGAACCATGAGAAATCCAGGAGATTCTGACTCACAGGGCAGCAACTTCCCTTGGTCATTCCTTCCCCACCCCCACCTCACCCTTCATGAGTCTTCTGTGGAAGATTCATGAACCAGTGCTCAAAGCCGCAGAGGAGAGTGTAAGAGTGTTTGGATGGAGAAGAAGAAGGTCCTTTCTTGGTGGTGGGTGAGAAGGCCTGAGTACCAGAAGACTCTGCCTTCTGGAGAAGTCAGACATTTCTTTAAAAGTCCATGATCACCCCCACCCCGAACCCCCTTCCCAGAAGATAGAGTCACACATTTGATCTGGGGCTGGGGAATAGGCTATTGTAGAAACTGCAGAAATGGCAGAGAAGATTAAAAGGTGAGACTCATGGGGTGGCATTTCCATAGGCCTAGGCTTCTCTCAGCTTCCCTACCCACTGCCCTGACCCAGATGAGTGCCAGGACTAGGAATGCCCTGTGTAAACTCCATGTAAGCCATGCTCGCCGTTTGTGTTTCCTAACCTCTCCTCTGATATCTCAGAGCACTGACTGTCTCCTTCATTTTGATGGACTGAGGAATCTATTTGAGGATATTCAGGCCCACCATGGGACTTGACTGTGGATACACAAATCAGGGCAAGGCAGACTTGAGACTTGGAGGATTTGAGAGAAGGGGGCAAATTTTAGATGTCTAGCATTTATTGAGCACGGGCTCTCTGTCAGGCACTGTACTTTACATGCATTTTCTTATCCTCACAACCATTTACAAGGTACTAAAATCACTTGCATTTTAACAAAGAGAAAACTAAAGTCCTGGTCAGTAAGTGACAGTCAGGACTTGAACTCATGCCTGTCAGCCTCCAAAATCCATGATTTTAACTGCTAAAATATGCTGCTAAGGAAAATAGGATGGTGGTGGTGGAGGGGTAAGAAAGAGAGTCTAAATGGAAATGAAGTAGGTGGGGATTAAGGAGGAGAGACAGGAAAATAAATTCTAGTGGCCAGTGTTCTTTGGTTGTCTGCATGCCCAGTGGTCGGTCAGAGGCACCCTGGCCTGTGAAAACAGATGCTCTCTATTGTTTTTTTTATCCTCACCCAAGGACATTTTTCGATATTTTGTTCAGATAGAGTGGGAGGGAGAGAGAGAGAGAGAAACATCGATGTGAAAGGGACCCATCGAGTGGTTGCCACCCACACGACCCAACCAGGGCTGGGGAAAAACTTCATCCGAGGTACGTGCCCTTAGTGGGAACGGAACCCGGGTCTCTCAGGACCGCAGGCTGATGCTCTAACCACTGAGCAAAACCAGCCAGGGCAACAGATGCTCTCTAAATCCCTCCTCTACTCACAGAGGAATCTGCTGGTGTTAAAAAGTTTCAGTGGGGAGAGGGAGCAGGGGACAAAGAGCAGTCTACTGGAACTTAGAGTTTGTGACTTTGGAACTCTTTCCAAGACACTAGTTTTGTTTTTAGATAAATGTGGGGAGTCATGCACTGCTCCCTCCCACTAAAAACTAAAGCCATAACCTTATAGAGCTTACCTGAGATACCCTTCACCAACAGATAGGTGTTTTCAAGACAGGCCTTGAATTAAAAGGGTCATTTCCCAGCTGGAAAAAGTTCTCTCTAGCCTGGGGCACCTACAAGTTTTAACTCCCCTCTTGACCTCCCACCAATAAGGAAATGAAATTGTCAGAGATGGCAACCTGGAAAAACACAGCACAGTCTAGGGTTTGGGAAAGCGTGGGCTTGGAAACAATTAATTCCACACTATCCAAGTGATTGCCCCACGGAGAAATGTAGTGGCTAAGGTAAATAAACAGACCAGCAGGCTGCCACGGGCTGGGCGGGCCCCTGGCCCCCAGCTGCCTCTCCTCCCACGCCCCAGCTTGGTGCTTCCCTGATGGTGAGGGGCTGAGGGAGCAGAGGGCCAGGCCAGTGGTTGCAGTCCCAGTCGGAGTAGAGGGACGGGAACCCAGCTGGGCGGCTCCACTTCCCCACGTTTTCCTTTCACATTGTTCACAGGTTTCAAGAATGATTTCATTGTGGAAAATGAGCAAACACAATCTGACCTTTGAGGTCCCACAGACACAGGGGACACATATATGGGCACACAAACACACACACACACACATCTGCATAGAGGCTGGCAGACATACACATGTACTTACAAAACAATCTAATGAGGGCTTCTTACTGGGGCCTCCTAGCAACCTCCTCCCTGGGTTTGGCCAACAACCACCAGTACTGAGAAGCCTCTACCTGTGAGAGTAAGTTGATCACTCGTTCTAGAGGTTTCCTACCTCCTGCATATATCTCAGAACTTGCTTCCTATGTAGGCCCCTACCTCCAGAGGAGGGCGGAAATATAGCCCAGATACCAACTCCAATCCCTAACTCCATCTTATTCCTCACATCTTTCCACCCCCTTCCCTTGGGGCAGGACTCCCCCCATAGTATGACAATGTTCACAGGAGAAAATGGATGGCTCAATGGTAGTGCAGTGTCAGCATTAGAGACTTGGATGGAGTCTTTGTCTAGACTTGGCAGGTCACTGGCCCAGTGTCTTTGGATATATCACTAGTTTAAACTAACCCTCCCCTGACATTGTGTGAGGTTGGTATAAAACCTATGTGGGATTGAAGAGACAGGAAAGGACTCTGGGACACTGAATCATGACGTGGTGGTGATGGTGCTATTCAGACAGGATCTCAGAGGAAGCCAGCCCTGTAAACTGGAGCCACATCCTTTAGCCCTGTGTCAACATGGGAGACTTGAAAAGCCAAAAGGCCTCGATTTATCTGGGGGCTCTGCTGGGTGAGAGACCACAAAGCTAGTCCATGCATTTTGCTTTCTCTTGCAGGCCACAACTCCCAGCCCACGACAATGCAGCCCTCTAGCAATCAGGGTAAGACCAAACACACAGGGCCTCCTTCAGCATTTATGTCTGGGAGCTTAGTAAGGGTGAGAGGAGTTCTAGACTCTGTTTTGCACAGATCTCAGGTGACTAAGGGTGGGGCCCGAGCTCTCAGGACATCCAGGACTGAGCTCATCTAGGGACTTTTTTCAGTTTGGCCCAGTCTAACCTGCCTTGAAAGAAAAAAGAGATGGATGGTTGCAGGTGAGGGATTGGGTAGGAAAAGAAGACTAGAAAACACCAGCCATAGGGAAGAAGAGGGGGAGACAGAGCAATAGGAGGCAACAGACCCTCAGCCTCAGATGATCTGTTTCAGGAGCTTTCAGTGTAAGTCTGACCACACAGCCAACTTCTCCCAACACAGGTGAGTGAGTATGGTTGCTAAGGGGCTAATCCCTTCCCCCTGCCCAGCCCCCTGCCCAGCCCCCTGCCCAGCCCCCCGCCCAGCCTTTTAGACTTGCCTGCAGCCCAAGGGTTCTCATATGAGTTAGAGTGTGGTGTCATCAAACCTGTCCCACCTCCAACTCCTCCTCTGTCTCTGTCCTTACAGGAGACAGCCCTTCCTCAGAGCCCCAGAGCCCAAGCCCTCTGTCCAGTACCAGTATCCCAGGTACTTTACAAATTCCATCCAGGGAGGGCCCAATGAGGAAGCAGACACAGTTCTGCTCTAAAGGAGAATACAGACTAGTGGAGGAACAGACAAGTAAATAAGACCACTTCTAATTTGAGGGCCAGGGAAGAGATCCCAGAGTGAGTGAGCTCCAAAGCTGAGGCCAAAGAAGGAGTTAACCAAATGAAGATTGTGGGGTGAAGGGTGGTAGGGTATATTCCAGGCAGAGGAAACTGTACAGGTAAAGACCCAGAGGTGAAAGAGAGGATAGCTCCTTCTGGAATTGAAAGCAGTAATGAAAAGAACAATTTTAGACTAAAGAGCCCTCCCTGTGTACATGCTGGTTGAAGTCCTAAGCAGGCCCACACGTGCTTCCTAATCCACAGCTGCTCCAGTGAAGTCCTCACAGGTCCCCACAGTACCCAGTAAACATGTGACACCAAGGTCAACCACCATGGATGGTCACTTCCCCTCCCAGCCACAGCAGCACACATCAGGATTTGGTAAGTATCTGGGGCTGGTGGTGAAATACATGGTCATGTCTGGCTGGGTTCCTTCTCCTCTTCAGGGGGCCCAAGGCCTGCCCCGCAGTGAGGGGTCTCAAAGCCAGGATCCACATCAGCAGCACCCTGCTCTGGAGAGAATGAGAGAGGTTTGGTGGGGAGTAGAGACAGGTATTTGGGTCTGGTCACAAGAAAGTAGAAAGAGTCTGGACTCGGGATTGATAAAGGCATAGGGAGGGACAGGGTGGGTTAGGAGAACCCAAATAATGGAAAGGAAGGCAGAAAAGGTTGGGAAAGGGGTACACACTTCTCAGGGCAGGTTGGTCTTCACCCAGCAGCGTGGGCGAAGAGCTGGGCGGGGGTGGATACCCTCCACCTTGGCCTGCTGTTCATGGCACAGGCACAGGTGTCCCAAGCAACAGCAGCAGCAGTGGCAGCAGAAGCAGAGGTATGTCCTGTTTGTACTCACAACAAAGAGCACACTGACCCTTTCTCTCACCCTACCTCTTGGCTCTGGGACTTTTTTCACACTCCCAGACTTATTTAGAAGGGGTTGAGGACAGGAAATGGAACAGCAATCAGGCCTGCAGTACAATGAGTTCAAAGGAGGAAGAGATGGGGGACCATTCCACTTTTTAAGAGGGCCAGAAACTTATGTCCTTTAACTGGCAGGCTGGCTTATTAGATCAGTACCTGGGGACAAACATCTGGTGCCCTTCTTTCCTCCCTCTTCAACCCTTGGCAAAACACAGATGGCTCTACTTTGCCTAGTCTGTCTCCCTATGTCTGCAGCATAAATCGCTTTCCTGTAGGCGCTCCAAAGGGATGGTGGGAAGAGCATAATGAGGGTAGCATCCTGAACTTTCTGAATTCCTTTGGAACTAGTAGCATGAACAACCAGCGATCTAGTCATGTGATCCCACATCACCAAGTTCTTTTTTTTTTTTTTTCCTTTATTGATTTTTAGAGAGAGAGGAAGGGAGAGGGAAAGAGAGAGAGAAACATCGATGAGAGAGAACATCAATTGGCCGCCTCCTGCATGCCCTCACCCCACTGGGGATTTGGCCCACAACCTGGGCATGTACCCTGACCAGGAATCAAACCAGTGACCTCTTGGTGGATGGGTTGATGCTCAACTACTGAGCCACACCAGCCGGGCCACATCACCCAGTTCCGACCTCCATCCTCATAGGACCTGGTCAGAGGGGCAGTGAGGAAATCTTTTCAGTAGGGCTTGAGCTCTCTCTGTAGTCCTTTACCTGGAAAAAATGGGAAGGAAGCTAGCTCTCTCTGGTAGGCTGAGTAATCCCTTCACTGAAGCACCCATCACCATTCCATTTTAGACACCTCGCAAAATGTTACTCCCAAACCAGCCACCATGAACCTGAGGACAAGAGAAGATTCCACCATTCTGCCCAGCCCCACGTCAGAGACGGTGCTCACTGTGGCTGCATTTGGTGAGAGGGAGAAGTTGGGGTGTGACAGGGGACCTCACCTTTGAACTGACTTAGACTCTGGGTCTGGAAACACAAGTTCAAATCTCACTCATTTGTGCTAGGAGGATTTGGCTGACAATAAAGGCTTTGGTGGGAAGGAGCCTCCACTGACCCTCTAGACAGTTCTTCTGGGCTCAGCTAGGTTCCATGTTCTCATGAGAGGATGGGGAAGGATTGTGAAACCCACTCTGGTCAGGGCAGTAGGTGGAATGCTCATTCACTCAGGAGAGAAGGGGAATTCAAAATGCACTTTGTTTGGAGCCTATCTACATAGCACTTAGCTGGGAAGAGAATTTGAACTCCTGTTATCTCCTTTTGTTCCCTTCTCTGCCTCCGCTTCTCCCCATCCTTATCCCTGTTTAGGTGTTATCAGCTTCATTGTCATCCTGGTGGTTGTGGTAATCATCCTGGTCAGTGTGGTCAGTCTAAGGTTTAAGTGTCGGAAGAACAAGGAATCTGAAGGTACGCACCTCTTTTCCCCTCTTTGCTGAAGACCCCAAAGTTGGATCCTGGGACTGATACCCAGCCGAGAGTTGAGGGAAGGAATGACACACCAGCACCATTAGATGAAATGGGAGGGTCTATTTGGGTGAACTTTGAGGGGCAGGTTGGGCTTCTGAGAATAGCATGTGACCCCCAATCTGTGCCTTTGGTTTTTATAGATCCCCAGAAACCTGGGAGTTCAGGGATATCTGAAAGGTAAGACTGTCAGAGGTGTAAGTAGGAATCATCTATCTGACCTCTCAGTATCCCCTCCAAGAGGGAACCAAAGTTTCCTGCCTTCTACACACACATGGAATCCTAACAGCCTCCACAGAGGCCAGAGCTAGGGGCAGGCAGGATGGGCAGACTTGAAAGGAAGCAATCAGGTAACCAGAGATGGACTGGAACTCTTCAGCCCCAGGGCTAACCCCCTATTACCTCTTCATGAAAAGTGTAGGAATTCAGACTCTAATATACCCCTTAAATAAGAAGTACTTATTTAAGAAACCACTTATTGAATACCTTGTATGTGCCAAGCCCTGTGGTAGATATTTGGTAATATTACCTCAAATTCTTAGAGTACTTCTTCAAGGCAGATATTACTGCATTTTATACATTTAAAAATGGAGAGCCCTGGCCAGTTTGGCTCAGCGGTTAGAGCGTCGGCCTGCGGTCCGGAGAGACCCGGGTTCGGTTCCCGCTAAGGGCACGTACTTCGGTTGCAGTTTGTCCCCGGCCCTGGTTGGCCGTGCGGGTGGCAGCCACTCGATGTGTCCCTTCACGTTGATGTTTCTCTCTCTCTCTCCCTCACTCTCTCTCCCTCCCACTCTATCTGTACAAAAAATGGAAAAATATCCTCGGGTGAGGATAAAAAAAATAAATAAATAAAATAAAAATGGAGACTTAAGAGAGGCCATAAATCGGACAAGATCACACAAGCAGAAGATAGTAAAACAAAGATTTAAATACAAGTCTTTTGGGCTTCAAAACACATTCTCATTTCATTATGATCCACCACCAAAACAAAGGTCTGTTTCAACAAACCCCTCACAGTTCCTTGATGCTCATGTTGCCTCCCACTCCTCCTATCCATAACCCATGTTCTCTTTCTTTTAGCTGCTCTGCAGCCAATGGAGAGAAAGACAGCATCACCCTCATCTCCATGAAGAATATCAACATGAATAACAGCAAAGGATGCTGCTCAGCAGAGAAGGTGCATTTTTCCTGGTTCCTTCTTCCCTTCTCCCTCCTCCTCCTTCCTTCAAGCTCTTGTTCCTTACCCAGAAAAAAAGATACTTTCAAAGACCCAGGCTCTTCTCTCCTTTTGTCTATTTTATCACTCCCAACAAGTTCGCCCTTCCTCATTAAGTATTTATTTTGCAGGTTCTTTAAAAGCAACTGTGGGTCCCTATGAGTCTGAGGATGATGCAGCTGCCCTGTGACTGTAAAGAGGAAGGCGATGGGATCAGTAGAGGCAATAAACCACATATAAATTATTTTATCTTTTCACTCTACTCCCAGATCTAAAGGATACTAATGTTCCTCCACATCTGGCAGCAAGCTACCACTGAGAGACTTTCCCATATGGACAGCCACTCTAGAAACTCCGCCGGCTTCTCCTACCTTCTCAAAGTCATAGGAAGGAGAAGCCTATAGAGCAAAAGCAAGGAAAATGACAATGTGGACTGGTCCTTTCTACTCGGCATTAAAATTATTTTCTGGCCTGCAGTCTCATTTCTTTTAAGGTCTATGCTCCCATGCATATATATATATATATATATATTTTTAATCCTCACCTGAGGATATTTTTACTATTTATCTTCAGATAGAATGGGAGGAAAGAAGAGAGAGAGAAACATCCAGGTGAGAGGAACACATTGACTGGGTGCCTCCTGCACGACCCCGACCAGGGCTAGGGACCAACTGCAACCGAGGTACATGCCCTTGACTGAATTGAACCCACGACTCTTTGGTCCCTGGGCTGACACTCTAACCACTAAGCCAAACTGGCCAGGGCTGTTTTTATTGCTTTTAAGAGAGAGGAAGGGAAAGGGAGAGAGAATGAGAGCAAAAAACATTGGTGTGAGAAAGTAACATTGATCGGTTGCCTCCCATATGCAGCCCAACTGGGGATTGAACTCACAACCTGGGTATGTGCCCTGACCAGCGACCTTTTGGTGCATGAGATGATACTCAACCAACTGAGCCACACTGGCCAGGGCAGGTCTATAACTTTATAAAGCAAAACCCCACCCACTTTACCCCAATCAGCTTTATCTTTGTATCCTAAAAATAAAAGATCACAAATTGCCCTGGCTGGTTTGGCTCAGCAGTTGGAGCGTTAGCCTGTGGACCAGAGAGATCTGGGTTCAGTTCCCACTAGGGGCACGTACAAAAAGAAAAAAAGAAAAGAAAAAAGATCACAAATAAGGTAAAATAATTTAAAGAGAAGGAGGAAAAGAAAGCAGTTATCTGTTTTCTCAGTAATCTGTGTTTGAAAATAAATTTTGGGAAGAGTCATCTGTGTATGTCTGCATGCAGTGTTTAACTTTATAAGCATCTGCTAACTGGCAGTTTAGAATAAAGGGAGAACATAGATTACTCATTTTGAAGCCACAATATGCTATTTTCTCCTGTATTTAGATCTGCAAGGTGATATGAGAAAGAAAGCCTAGAACAAAAAGTTTCACTTTTACCCTGGCTGGTATGGCTCAGTAGTTAGAGTGTCAGCCCTGGCACCGAAGGGTCTCAGGTAGGATTCCCAGTCAAAGACACAAACCTGGTTTACAGGTTCAATCCCTGGCCCCAGTTGGCGCACATGCAGGAGGCAGCCAATCGATGTGTCTCTCTCACATCAATGTTTCTCTCTCCCCACCCCTGCCCCTTTCCCGATTACCTTTCACTTTCTCTAAAAAAAAATCAATGGAAAAAATATCCTTGGATTAGGATTAAAAAGAAGTTTCACTTTCTCCGTCTCATTGAAATAATTCAAGTGTACTAAAGAAACTTGGTGGATTCTAAAATCCTCTTGGGCAGGGCCTATAGCCTGCTCATGTCTGTAGCTCTTATGTGCTACATTGTGCCCAGCATATCAGAGGTCATGAACACTGGCTCTCGAGTGCAGGAAATCTAATCACAAGGCTAGGCTCTGCCACAGACTCACAGCTTGACTTTGGCGAAATCACTCCCATCTCTGAGCCTGTTTTCTTTTAAAGTGAGGTGGCCGAACTACTTGCCTTTCCTGACTTTTCTGGTACTTATATTCTAAAGTCCTATAAACTCTAGATGTAGGGAAAAGTTCATCTTTTGAGTAGACGTCACTCTGGGTGGGAGCCAGAGACAAGTCTTAGGTGACTCGGCAAGTCTTTCACACTCTCTGTACTTAGATTTCCCTGTGTATTCATGTGTATAAAGGAAGAATGATCCCTACCTGGACCTGTCTACCTCATAGGCTGCTTAGGAGGTAAATGTGGACATACTTAGGAAGTAAAAGTACTAGTCGCCAATTGTAGCAGAAAACATGAAGTACCACTGCCTTGATCCTACACTTCAGGATCATGGCACTTGTTCCCCTACTGCTGGAAGTGTTGGCTGCTAAGGGCTCATAGCTGTTGATGGGAGTGAATATGGAGATGAAGACCTGGACCTCTTGCCTCAATTTCTCCCTCTGCCCCAGTCCTGCCTCCCTTATTCTCACAGATGTTCCCAGAAGCACTCCCCAATAAACCATTAGCATGCAAATTTCAGTGTCTCAGAGTCTATTTCCTGTAGTACCCAACCTACTTCAGCATTCCTACCCTGATCGGTCTAGCTCAGCGGTTAGAGCATCGGCCTGCAGTCCAAAGAGACCCGAGTTCAATTCCTGCTAAGGGCACGTACTTTGGTTGCAGTTTGTCCCCGGCCCTGGTTGGGTCGTGTGGGTGGCAACCACTCGATGTGTCCCTTTCACATCGATGTTTTTCTCTCTCTCTCCCTCCCGCTCTATCTGAACAAAAAAATGTCCTCAGGTGAGGATAAAAAAATAAATAAATAAATAAAATAAAAAGTTACAAAAAAAAAAAAAGAAATACTACAGCATTCCTAAAAAATAATTCAGATATATTTTATCTGAGTCACACTGCAACTAGCACATGACTTCCCAGCCGGTTCCAGTACAAAAATCTATCACTGGTATAGAACTCTGCAGGTGACATAACAATATCTAGAAGTACTGGATTCTGTTTCAATGTTATTCTGACTGCCATGGGCACTTAGTTCAGCTGCTTATCAAACTGGGGCAATTAGGTCAGGGACATGGATTTCATTCAGTTAATGTCTCCATTATAAGGCCACAAACTTCTACCTGACTCTGGACAATATCCTGCAAATATGAGCTGTTAGTCATAAGGTATTATATGTGGGGGATAAGGGGTGAACTGGTATTAATGAGATTGAAAGTGTTTTGTTTTGTTTTTGTTAATCCTCACCCAAGGATATTTTTCCATTGATTTTTGCAGATAGATTGGGAGGAAGAGAGAGAGCGAGAGAGAGAAACATCAATGTCAGAGCGACACATCGATTGGTTGCATCCTGCACGACCTGGACCAGGGCTGGGGAGCAAACCTGCAACCTAGGTACATGCCCTTGACTGGAAATCGAACCCACTATGGTCCACAGGCCACTGCTCTAACCACTGAGCAACTGGCCAGGGCAGATTGAAAGGCTTTTACCTAGAAACTGATACTGCACTACCACATTAGCCATGTTGATATTCTAGTTGCTAAATAACTATCCTTTAGGAAGGGTTCAAGGATGAATTCACTTAATGCTGAATCCTGCTCTGTAGCAAACTGTATGAGAGGGGGTTCTGCTGGAAGATTCTACTATTTATGCAAAAACAAGACCCCACCTCTGACAGGAAATCTGAGTGCAGCCTTCTGTAGCCCCTGAAGCTTCCCCGAGACCATATCTCTTCCTTGATGTCTAGACAACAGGATGGTGGCCATTTACAAGACAGCTTCCTCCCTTTCCTAACACAGGACTACATGGTCCCAAAGCAAGAATAGGTGGTAGGGGTAGGGTGGTTGTTGTAGTGTCCTTTCACTTCCCCCCACATCCTAGGGGAGGGCAACCAGCAAACCAGCTCTGGTGCATAGTCCCAGTCAGACAGAGGTTCATTTACTTAGTATCTTTCTTCCAGGCCTGGATGGGGCAGCATCTCAATCATACAGGGCACAAGGCAAACCTCAGTATCACTAGCAAAAATTCACTACAGTTCAACAACATTTCTAAAAGTAAGTAGAGAAAAAGGATAGAAATCTCAGGCTGGGTCTAGGTAAAAGAGTTTCGTGTACAGAAAAATCACAGGCCCTGGCTCAGCGGTTAGAGCGTCGGCCTGCGGTCCAGAGAGACCCGGGTTCGGTTCCCGCTAAGGGCGCGTACCTAGGTTGCAGTTTGTACCTGGCCATGGTTGGGTTGTGCCGGTGGCAGCCACTCGATGTGTCCCTTTCATGTCGATGTTTCTCTTTCTCTCTCTCTCTCTTCCTCTCTCTCCCTCCCACTCTATTTGAACAAAAAATGGAAAAATGTCCTCAGGTGAAGATTAAAAAAAAATCACGGCAGGCCCCCTTGGCCTAGTTCCCATACACAATTTCCCAAAGTCAGGCTGGTACTACTTAATTCTATTTGAATCTGCTGAAAAATATTGTGTGTCTCTGCTCAGCAGTACCCCTCTGGATTTGTGGATGGTCTTTCTCACTTCTTTGAACTTCTTTCTACACCTACCTTGTTATCTTTGTAAACTGCCTTAGAGAACCCAATTTCCCTTCCCTTAGATCCTTCCTGCTCTTCCTGCTGTTACTTTCCCCTGACACCACCATCCTCAACCCTTTGAACCCACAGCTTCCTCTTACCAAACATAGAGGTTGAATCTGACAGTGGGAATTATTTTGTTGAGTGGTATGCTTAAACAAAAACTGGCACAAAAATGTTCTAAAAGGCGCAGCCGGTGTGGCTCAGTGATTGAGCATCGACCAACGCACCAAAATGTCGCCGATTTGATTCCCGATCAGGGCACATGCTCAGGTTGTAGGCCGGATCCCCATTTGGGGGCATGCAGGAAGCGGCCAGTCAATGTTTTCTCTCATAGATGTTTCTATCTCTCTCTCCTTTTCCCTTCCTCTCTCTCTAAAATCAATAAAGAAAATAAATTTTTTTAATGTTCTAAATGTTGGGGTTTGGAGTTCTAAGTTAGTCCTGGTGATAGAGTTTGAAAAATTTATCCAGTGGTAGTTGAGGTGTCAATGAGCTGAAGGGTACATTTGCATGGCAACATCTGAGAAGGTTGCAATGCTAAACTTTTTTCTTTCTTTCTTTTTTTTACTAAGCTAGAGTAAATGAGTCATCTAGAAAAGAAGGGAGGAGTGAGGTTTCAGAGAATGATGGGAAAGGCTGTTGAGGTACTTACTATACATTTCCAAGAGGCCCCAATTTCCCAAATCTTGTCCAGCATTCTTGAACTTGGACTCTACTCCTAAGAAGCCCCATAATTCATAGCATGGCTTTTCAATCCAATCCCACTCTCAACCACATACCTCTAACTCCATGCTACTATGACATCTCTGAGTACCTCTAGAGTCTAGACCTTAGCCCTGTGCCCCTGGACTCCAAGGCACACCTTACCTTTCCCTGTCCATCTTCTAGAGCAATCTGTCTAGTCTCCCAAAACCACCTAAAAGATGTCCCTGATCAGGTCTCTCATCTACAGAGCATGAGTGGCTTCTTCAGAACCCAGCCTTCTGTGAGTATACTGATCCTCTTGTATCCCAGGGTCTTGAGGGAAGGAATGGAACTGTATACTATTGAAGCCTTGTTCTTTTCAGTTTGTGCCCAGGATTGTACATCTCCCCACCCCACCCCAATTGTCTAAGTAGCTACTAGTTGATACCATAATTGACATAACTAATTTGGTCTTCCTGGATAAGATCTCAACGAATTCCAGGTAATTTATTGTTTGGGGGTGACCATGATCATTTTCAATTTTGCAGACTTGATCTTTGGCCATCCCAACTTACCAGCAAGCATAAGTCAGTAAGGACACTGTACCATCTACCTGTGAAGAACTGGTTTTATTCTTTGCTAAAAGGCTCCATGCAAACTTGAATGAGGGAAAGCAGGAATATTTCTTCATTTTCTTTTTACTAATCTTCTAAGGCCTGGTCCTTCAGATAAAAAGTAATGGGCCAAGGAAACTAGTTAAGTGAAAGAGAGGAGAAAGGTCTCAGAAGGATCCTGGAGTAGGATGGGATGAAGGATAAGGAACAGCAAAAATAGGGGCTCTAAGGCTGGCTTCAATATGTACTTGCTCTTTTCTTCTTTCTCTACCCCTGACCTTTAGTGGTCCCTCTAATGATGCTGTGCCTGGAGAGCTGGGGGAGGAGGTGGCAGACCCAGACTGCCCTCTAACCACATAAATCTACCTCACTTTTCTACTTTTTGTGGCTCTTAAATTCTCAGGGTTGGGTTCAGCATCCCCAAAAGCTGTCTCTGAATCTCCAATAAACATTAATGTATATTTGTTTTGTTGTTGTTTTTATCTCAGAAAGAAAGGAAAGGGGGAGGGGTGGATTTTTTGTTCCACTTTCCGCTTATTTATGTATTCATTGGTAGGAGGCTTGTATGTGCCTTGATCTGGCATGGAACCCACAACCTTGGCGTATCTGGACACCTCTCTAACCAACTGAGCTACCCAGCCAGGGGGCATCAGTGTGTATTTTAACATGACATCCCTGAGGGAAAAAGTCATACTGTCTCGCTCTAGCCCATAGTTTGCAAAGCTTTTCCCAAGCAGGATCTCATCGCGCCTCCTTGAAAGTCCCCAGTGTTGGGAGGCCCACAGTGGCCACGGTTTCCGGCTTTGAGCCCCTAGCCGCGCAGCAGTCAACTAGCAACAACGCACATCCACAGGCCTCGCGTCCACGGGAAGAACCCCTTACTCCCCTGCACCTCCGACTGGCCCCCCGCACGGCGCGAGCCTGCCGGAAGTTGTAGTCCAATGTCTCGCAACTCAATTGGTTGGACTACAATGACCAGCATGCCCCGCGGTCCTTGGAACCCCCCCCTCTCCCCGCCACCCCATCTTTTTCAGCCTCAGGCGCCGAGGAGACTCGGCTGACCTGCTGACTGGGAACCAGAAATGGCAGCTACTCTGGGCAGCGGGGAGCGCTGGACGGAAGGTACCAGGTCCCGGTCGTAGGGTGGGCAGGGCGGGGTTCGGCAGAGATCAGGGATGGGGCCCTTGAAGGTGCTCGAGGGCTGAGATCCTGGGCCTGAGGTGAAGGATGGAGGCCTAAGAGAAGATGTTGAACCTGAACAGGGTTCCGGATGAGTTGGTGGACCGCCCAGGGCAGGGGCCGGGCTCCAGATACCAGGAGCGCTGGCCAAGCGGAGGAACCCGCCAGAAGCCCAGAGTCACCGGTGACGACTTCTTGCCTCCAGCCCCCAGCCCCGCCCCGGCCAGTGCCCCGCCCAGGGACCCGCGGCAGTCAGACCCCGCCCGCGCCAGGGTGGCCAAAGGGTCAGCGGGCAATGCTGTCTCCCGCAGCTTTCTTTCCTGGCCCTTATTCTCGCTACCCAACTGGGCTACCTGATCCTTGGTCTCGGCTTGCTCTTGTCTGTGCAGCCTGCATCAGGACCGATAGGCCGGCTTTTTCTGTCCTACAGTAAGCAAAGAGTATTGATGCAGTACCTATTTTTTACCCTGCATTATGTTGATCCTGCAGCAGGGATTTGACAGACGTGGGCCCTGAGATAAAAGAACTCTCAGGTCACTGAGGGAGTTTGACAGGTAAACAGCCAATTACAAAACAGGGCCAGTAAGTCCTGTGCTATACACAGCAAGGTCTAGTTTTTGGAAGCACACTGACAATGCACCCAACACAGCCTGGATGTCAGAGGAGGCCTTATGGAGAAAGTGTTACATATGATGATGTAAAGAATGGTTGGAGTTAGTTGGGCTCACTTAAGGGAAGAATGTTGCAGGCCGAAGGAAAAGAGAAAAGAGAAAGTAGTGCAGATCTGAAAGGAGTTTGGTGTGGCTAGAGCAGGTGAGAGATGAAGCCAGAGAGGCAGCCTGGCTTTGTTCAAATAAGAAATTTGAACAAGAAGCAGTGTGTAGTCACTAAGGGATGTGAAACAGGAGAAGAATGTTTTTAAAACCTTTTCCATATTCTCCAGATGGGACATGAGTACTTGCCTTCTTTGACTGGATTGCTATGGCCCTCTTTACATTCTGCAGGTGTTAAGATTAATTGAATTCTCTCCCTTTAAATAATAACATCTTTATGGTCAGGAGTAGATCTTATCTATACATCTCCTTGATCTAGCTAACCAGTATCTTGTATATATTAGTTCTATAACCATTAGTGTAAAAGAATTAAACTCATCTCTACTTTAAATCTTAGTGGTGGGAGGCATTGCAACAAAAACTTATTTTATGAGCAATGTCACATCTGACCATGGACTACAGAGAGCTAGGCTTCCCCCTGCATTGCACTAAAGGCAAGGTATTTGGGCAGACACTTCTTGAGCATTTTTTCTGGCTGTGAGTTAAAATTATTTGCTGACTGACCATTGAAGGTATGGTAAACATTATTACACTTCATGTTTCTGGCATTATAAGTTTTTCATGGTTGCCTCCATATTTTCTGTATTGTTTTCTCAAGGAAGATGTTTGTTCATTTTTGTATGGGTGCTTAAAAATCAGCATGATGTCAGTAGCCTGGCATTCATACTCATCTGCTCCTGCCTACAAGCAGCCTCCCAGGTAGCTAAGGAAGGTAGCAAAGTTAATTTGCAGGTCAGACTGAGGCCTAATGAAAGGGCTGTTGCTTTGCAGCTTACATTGATGCAGTTAGAAGAAACAAATACCCAGAAGACAGACCTCCTGAAAGTCATGACCCCTGTGGTTGCTGTAACTGCATGAAGGCACAAAAGGAAAAGAAGTCTGAGAATGAGTGGAATCAGACCTGGCAGGGTGAGGGGAGTGCCACTTATACTGAGGAGCAGCTGCTTGGGGTACAAAGGTGAGCCTGTGATGGGATTAACTGAGTGATTTTATGTAGAGTGCCTGGCACAGACAATGTGCTATACTATAAGTATTAACCGCTGTTATTATTTTTTTATTATTATTATTGAAGCACAATAGCTTCTCGGCCTCAGAGGCAGTAAGTAGAAGTGGAGTAGTGGGGTGTAATCTGAGGTATGTGCCCTGCTTCTACTATAAGAGAGACAGGAAAAATCAACTAGCTATAACAGACATCTATACAACATTCTACCCCAAAACAGCAGAATACCCATTCTTTCCAAGTATACATGGAACATTCTCCAGGATAGCCCATACATTAACTCATAAAATAAGCCTCAATAAATTTTAAAGGATTAAAATCATACAGTGGCCCTGGCCAGGTGGCTCAGTTGGTTGGAGCATCATCCTGCACACCAAAAGGTTAATGGGTTCAATTCCTGTCAGGTCACATACCTAGGTTTCAGGATCTATCCCTGTTTGGGACACATATGAGAGGCAACAGATCGATATTTCTCTCTCACACTGATGTCTCTCTCTCTTCTCTCTCTCTCTTCCTTCCTCTCTTTCTAAAATCAATAAACATATTCTTGGGTGAGGATAAAAAAAAAAATCATACAATGTATGTTCCTTGAAATCAACAACAGAAGGAAATTTGCAAAATTTGCAAATGTGAAAATTAAACAACATATTCCTAAATAACAAAGGTCACAGAAGAAATCACAAGGAAAATTACAAAATACTTTGAGATGAATGAAAATGAAACTACAACATAATGAAACATATGGGATACAGCTAAAGCAATACTTAGAAGGAAATTTATAGCTGTAAATATATATATTCTTTAATCTCAAATGAATAACCTAATCTTCTACCTTAACAAACTAAAAAAAGAAGAGCAAACTAAATCCAAACAAACAGAATGAAGGAAATAAAATAGAGTGGAAATAAATAGAATAGAGGATAGAAAGCAACAAAGGCAACAAAACCAAAAAATGTTTTCTTTTAAAAATAACAAAATTGACAAACTTTTATCTAGACCAGTGATTTTCAACCTTTTTCATCTCATGGCACACATAAACTAATTACTAAAATTCTGCGTTACACCAAAAAATATATTTTTGCCTATATAACCAAAAAATAGGTATACTTTTGATTCATTCACAGCAGGTGGCTATTGTTGTGTTGTCTATTGTCATTTTGCTTTATTTGACTAAGACAAAAGAGGTCAGTGCCCCTGGCTAAATAGTCGGGTATTCCATGTTTTAAAAATTACTGCCCTGGCCGGTTTGGTTCAGCAGTTAGAGCGTCGGCCTGCTTTCCAGAGAGTCCCGGGTTCGGTTCCTGCTAAGGGCACGTATCTTTGTTGTGGTTTGTCCCCAGCCCTGGTTGGGTCATGCGGGTGGCAGCCAGGCAATGTGTACCTTTCACATCGATGTTTCTCTCTCTCTCTCTCTTCCTGAACAAAAAATGGGAAAATGTCTTCAGGTGAGGATTAAAAAAAAAAAATTACTGTGGCGCCCTGGCCAGTTTGGCTCAGTGGTTAGAGCGTCAGCCCGCGAACCACAGAGACCCAAGTTCGATTCCTGCTAAGGGCACGTACCTTGGTTGCAGTTTGTCTCCCGCCCTGGTTGGGGTCGTGTGGGTGGCAGCCAGTCGATGTGTCTCTCTCACATCAATGTTTCTGTCTCTCTCTTCCTTCCTCTCTCCCTCTCGCTCTATCTGAAGATGGATGAAAACATGTCCTCCGGTGAGGATAAAAAAAAAAATTTTCAGGATGGCTTGCTTCCCTGGTGAATTCTACTAAATGATTGAAGAAGAATTAACTAATCCTTCAAAAACTATTACAAAAAAAATACATGAAAAGGGAACATTTTCAACCCATTCTATGAGGCTAGTATTACCCTGTAACCAAAACCAGACAAAGACGTCACAAGAAAACTAAACTGTCAACTAATGTCTCTATGGATGTAGATTTCAGCAACATATAAAACCATATAAAAGGGATTATATACCTTGACCAAGTGGGATTTATCCTAGGAATGCAAGGTTGTTTAACATATGAAAATCAACTAATGTAATACAACGTATTAATAGAATAAATGACAAAAGCCACATGATCATTTTAATAGGTGCAGAAAAGGCATTTGACAAAATTGAACACTTAAAACAATACTCACCATAGTAGGAATAGAAGGGCACTTCCTGAACCTACAAATAATCCATAGCTAACATCTACAAACAATCCACAGTTGACATCATACTTAATGGTGAACAACTGGATGCTTTCCAAGATCAGGAACAAGACAAGTATGTTGACTCTAGCCACTTCTATTCAGCATTGTACTAGAGCTCCAAGCCAGGGCAGTTAGGCAACAAAAAGATATAGAAGCCATCCAGATCATTCGCAGGTGATGATCTAATATAGAAAATCCTAAGGAATACAAACACACACACACACACACACACACATTTCTACACACTATTGGAACTAATAAATGAGTTCAGCAGAGTTGCAAAATGTAAGATCAATATACAAAACTCATTATTTTTCTATACAATAGCAATGAACAATCCAAAAATGAAAAAGAAAACAATTTTAAAAAAAAAAACAGTTTCTGCCCAGCCAGTGTTGACCCATGCACTAAGAGGTTGCTGGTTCGATTTCCAGTCAGGACACATGCCCAGGTTGTAGACCAAATCCCCAGTGGGGGGCATACAGGAGGAGGCCAATCGATGTTCTCTCTCATCAATGTGTCTATCTCCCTCTCCCTTCCTCTCCTTCTAAAACCAATAAAGAAAAAAAATTGTTAAATAATAATAAAAAAAAGTTTTATTTGTAACACCATCACAAAATAATAAAATGCTTAGGAATAAATTTAACAAGAGAAGAGTAAAATTGTACATTGAAAACTCTAAACCTCTATTAAAAGAAATTAAATAAATAAATGGGAAGATATACTGTGTTCATGGATTGGAAGACTTATTATGGGTAATTTGTAATACTCCCCAAATTGACCAACAGATTCAATACATCCTTATCAAATTTTCAATTGCCCTTTTTGCAGAAATTGACAAGCTAGTTCCTAAAATTCATATGGAAATGCAAGAGACCCACAATAGCCAAAACAGTTTTAAGAAGCACAAAGTTAGAGGACTCATATTTCCCAATTTTATTTTATTTTATTTTTTTACTTTGGGTTATATCCTGTATTTTTGTTGTTGTTACAGATGTTTCTCCTTTTTCCCCCATTGACACCCTCCACCCCTCCCTCCCCGCCCTGTCCCTAGCTTTGTTGTCCATGTTCACTGGTTATGCATATAAGTTCTGTGGTTTATCCCTTGCCCCACTCACCCCCTCTTCTGGGGATTGTCAGTCTGAACCTTACTTCCACGTCTCTGGGACTACACTGTTCTTCAGACTGTTATGTTCATTATATTCCACAAATAAGTGAGATCATATATACTTGTCTTTCTCTATTTGGCTTGTTTCCCTTAGGATAATACTTTCCAGGTCCTTCCATGTCGTCTCACAAGATAAGAGCTCTTTTTTTCTTATAGCTGCATAGTACTCCATTGTGTATATGTACCACAGCTTTTTTATTCACTCGTCTACTGATGGGCACTTGGGCTGTTTCCAAATCTTAGCTATTGTAAATAGTGCTGCTATGAACATGGGGGTACATATATTCTTTCTGATTGGTGTTTCAGGCTTCTTAGGGTATATTCCTAGAAGTGGGATCACTGTGTCAAATGGCAATTCAATTTTTAATTTTTTGAGATAACACCATATTGTTTTCCATAGTGGTGGCACCAGTCTGCATTCCCACCAGCAGTGTATTAGAGTCCCCTTTCCTCCATACCCTCGCCAACACTTATTGTTTGATGATTTGTTGATGGTGGCCATTCTGACAGGTGTGAGGTGATACCTCGTTGTTTTAATTTGCATCTCTCTGGTGATTAGTGATGTTGAGCATTTCTTCATATGTCTCTTAGCCATTTGTATGTCCTGTTTGGAGAAGTGTCTATTTAGTTCCTCTGCCCATTTTTTAATTGGGTTCTTTGTCTTCCTTTTGTTGAGCTATATGAGCACTCTATATATTTTGGAAATTAACCCCTTATCTGATGTGTCATTGGCAATTATGCTCTCCCATAGCGTGGGTTGCCTTTCCATTTTGGTAGTTATTTCTTTTGCTGTGCAGAAGCTTTTGAGTTTGATGTAGTCCCATGTGTTCATTTTTTCCTTTGTTTCTGTTGCCTTAGGTGATGTATCAGTGAAAATTCTGCTGTGTATGATGTCTGACATTTTTTTTAAATGTTTTCTTTATTGATTTTAGAGAGAGAGGAAGAGAGAGGGGGAGAGAGAGAGAAACATTGATGAGAGAGAACATCAACTGGCTGCCTCCTGCATGCCCCACACTGGGGATTTGGCCCACAACCTGGGCATATGCCTAGACTGGGAATTGAACTGGTGACCTCTTGGTGCATGGGTCGACACTCAACCACTGAGCCACATCAGCCAGGCTGATGTCTGAAATTTTGTTGCCTACATTTTCTTCTAGGATTTTTATGGATTCATGAGTCACATTTAAGTCTTTTATTCATTTCTGAGTTTATTCTTATGTATGGTGTAAGTTGAGGATCTAGTTTCATTTTTTTGCATGTAGCTGTCCAATTTTCCCAATATCATTTATTAAAGAGGCTGTCTTTACTTCATTGTATGCTCTTGCCACCTTTGTCGAATATTAATTGAGCATAATGTTTTGGGTCCATTTCTGGGTTCTCTGTTCTATTCCATTGATCTATGTGCCTGTTCCTGTGCCAGTACCAGGCTGTTTTGATTACAGTAACTTTGTAGTATAACCTGATATCCGGTATTGTGATCCCTCCTAATTTGTCCTTCTTTTAGTTTCTGTCTTTTTATTTATTTTTTTTTATCCTCAGCTGAGGACATTTTTCCATTTTTTGTTCAGATAGAGTGGGAGGGAGAGAGAGGAAGAG